GAGATTCCCCTGCACCAGGCTTCCACCTGACCCCAAAATGCGCCCCCCAGCATTCTCCTCAACCTGATCATTCACGTTCCCATCCCCACCTGCCCTCAGTCCACTCAGGAAATCTCTTCTGTTTCCCCTTCCCAGGGAGATCTGTGTTTGTGTATAATGTGTGTTTTGGGATGTGCATATGGAGGTCAGAGGACAACTTTGTGGAGTTAGTTGGTTCTGAGGATCAAATTCAGCTTGTCAGGCTTGGTAGTGAGCACCTTTGCATGCTAACCCATCCTGCTCGCCCTTTCTACCTTATTTTTTTTTTTTTTTTTTTTTTTTTTTTTTTTTTTTTTTTTTTTGAGATACTCTCTTACTGAACTTGGAGCTTGTGGATTCATCTACTGTCTGGCTCCAGGGATCCTCCTGTCTCTTCCTTCCCAGTGCTGAATTATAGGTGTATGATACTATACATTACTTTTACATGGATGTTGGGTATTGAACTTAGGTTTTCATGCTTGTACACCAAATATCGTACTAATTGAGGCATCTATCTCTATTGCCCTAGTGTCTACAGACATCTCTCTAGTGTCAAGCTTTTGTTTGTTTGGACAAATTCTCTGTAGCTCAGGATGGCCAGATGTAACCTCTAGCCCATAGTCCCCTCATGCTTTGCCTCCCCAGTGCTGGGATTATAGGTATGCTTGGATATGGGATGTGTTTGTTATTGCTGAGATGCATTCTGTTACATGGCTGTGTTTCACGTTATTTATCTATCCACTACTTTGTGTTTTGTTTGTTTGCTTGTTCGTTTGTTTATTTTTTGAAGTCAGGGTCTCACTGTGTAGCTCTGGTTGTCCTAGAACTCGGTAGACCAGGCTGGCCTCAAACTCAGAGAGGTCTACCTGCCTTTGCTTCCCAAGTGCTGGGATTAAATGAATGCACCACCACCATGCATGCTTTATTTTTTGTTTTTGAAAAGTGTCTGTCTTTGTAGCTTAGATGAGAGCTTACTATGTAGCCTGGAGTTTATGACAGTTCTCCTGCCTCAGATTATTGAGCAATGGATTACAAGCAGGAGTCATTACATCTGGGTTCTTTGATTTACTTTGCTTTTAAAGATCTTCTTAAGGTAGGAGTTTAGATTATTATTATTATTTACTTTTAGGCATTCTTGAACTTGCTGTGGTCCTCCTGCGTTAGCCTCCCAAGTGTTGAAACTATAGATGTGTGCCACCATATTAGCTGATTTGTCTGTTTTGGATATTTTATATGGATATTTCATATGTGGCTTTTCTCTCTGGCTTCTTTCATTGCATAATTTTTAAAAACATTTGTCTACATTGAAGCGTGTCAGGACTTCATTCCCTTATGTGGCTAAATAATATTCCATTGTATGGCTATACCACTGCTTGTTTATTCATTCATTCATTGATGAATTTTAGTTTTTCTTTCTACTTGCTTTATTTACTATTGTAAAAATTTGTGTATAAGTTTGTGTGGAGATATAAGTCTCATTCTTTTGGGTATTTACATAGGATTAGAATTTGCAGAGTCAAATTGCTGGATTTAAGAAATCATTAGATTGCTTTCTTCAGTGGCTGCTTTCTTATATTTCTACCACCAGTAAATATGAGTTTAAACTTCTCCATATCCTCACCAGTATTTTTATTTATTTATCTGTTATAGGACAATATCTCACTATGCAGTGCTGGCTAGCTTGGAACTCATTTTGTAGACAAGGCTGGTCTCAAAATCATAGAGATCTGGCCCCTCATTTGAGCCTTTAGTTATACTGGTTTTTGTCCTACACCTGCCCTTGTTGGACCTGGCTGTGTGCATCATTTCCTGGTTGCCAATGATGGGCCCTCCTTGTCGTGGGGTTGATGCCTGGGGGTCTTGCTCCTGGAATGAGGCCACCCATGAGGCCACATGCCCATGATGCTTGGGCCTCCAGTGATGAGATCTCCTGCTCACCCTATGATGGTACCCACTTGGCTTGGCATAACTTGGCCAGTCAGATGAGAGCAGGAGAGCTCATCATCAGTTTTGTATTTCTTGTTCTGCTTCACTAGGAGATCACAGTGCTGAGCCTGAGTATCTTCTAGTTGCATGACAAGGAAGGCTTCTCCCTTCCTAGCAGACAGAATAGTTTTGAAGGAGAAAAGTGGGATAAAAAAGTACAGTTTTCATCTGTATTGTAAAATATGAAAACAAAATTGCCAGCTGTTTTTAGTTTAAAAAAAAAAAAACAACATAGAGGGCTGGGTGGTGGTGGCATACACGTTTAATCCCAGCACTCAGGAGGCAGAGGCAGGTGGCTCTCTGTGAGTTTGAGGCTAGCCTGGTCTACAGGGTGAGTTCCAGAATAGCCAGGACTGTTTGACAAAGAAACTGTCTCAAAAAAAACCAAAAAAAATCATAGAGATCTGCCCATCTCTGCTTCCTGAGTGCTGGGATCAAAGGTGTGCACCACCACATCTGGCTACTAGTATTTTTTTTTTTCTTATACTATCAAATTTATCTGTCTCTCTGTCTCTCTGTCTGTCTCTGTCTCTGTCTCTCTCTCTCTCTCTCTCTCTGTGTATGTATGTGTGTGCATGCATGTGTGTGTCAAGGTGCTTGTGTCCAGCCTTGGGTGTTTGTTCTTATTCTTCTCCTTGCTTGAGACAGGGTTTCTTGTTCTCTGTTGCATACTCTGGGGATTGTCTTGTGTTTACTTTTCATCTTCCTCTAGGACAGTGGTTCTCACCCTTCCTAATGCTGGGACCCTTTTAATACAATTCTTTGTGTTGTGGTGACCCTCAACCATAAAATAATTTCTTTACTGCAATTTTGCTACTGTTAAGAATTGTAATGCAAATATCTGATGTGCAAGATATCCCACAGAGGGATTTTTTGACCCATAGGTTGAGAACCACTGCTCTAGGAATACTGGGATTACAGATGCATCCCATTCTGTCTGGCTATTTGAGATTTGTGTGGTCAGAACCTCAGATTCTGAGGTTCTGAACTCAGGTCTTCAACCCTTGTGCAACAAGCACTTTACCCATGAACCATCTCTCCAGCCCTGATTCTGAGATTTTTTTGGTTAAGGTTTTGGCAAGTGAACTTAGTTGTTGGTAAGTGTTTCCTTTTTGTTTTTGGTGTTTTAATACAGGATTTTTCCATGTAACCCTGGCTGTCCTGCTACTTGCTCTGTAGACCAGGCCAGCCTCGAACTCACAGAGATCTGCTTGCCTTTTATCCAAATGCTGGGACTGAAGGTGTGTGCCACCACTGCTCAGCTTGGTATATATTTTTCTGTGTTATGTGATGTCTTTTTGTTAACAGCCATTGCTGATCTTTGCTTGCACTTATCTACATTTTTGGCAGGCGGTTTTGCTACTAATTTTAGGTTGGTATTTTTCTTTGCTTGTCTTCTGGCTACCATTCTTCATGACTTACTGTCATCTGTATAACACCCTTGTTGGTCTTGGGAAGTAGTCTGTCTTCTTGTTCCTCAATTTTTTTTCCAATTTATCTTTATCTTGTGTACATTGGTGTTTCTCTGCATGTATGTGTGATGGTGTTCAATCCCCTGCAACTGAATTAATAGTCAGTTGTGAACTGCCATATGGATGCTGGGAATTGAACCCAGGTCCTCCAGAAGAGCAAGCAGTCAGTGCTCTTAATCACTAAGCTATCTCTAGTCCCTGTTCCTCTATTCTTTGTGTTTGTTTGTTTTGTTTTTCTTTTTTGTTTTTTGATTTTTTGAGACAGGGTTTCTCTGTGGCTTTGGAGGCTGTCCTGGAACTAGCTCTTGTAGACCAGGCTCTTCTAGAACTCACAGAGATCCACCTGCCTCTGCCTCCCGAGTGCTGGATTAAAGGCTCACACCTTTAATCCAATGCCCAGCTTGTTCTTCTGTTCTTACTCCCTGGTGCTTTCAAGATTTTTCTCTTTTTGGTTTTCATCAGAAACACTATGATGTATATGGTTTGGTTTGTTATCATCTCAGTTTTAACTGTAAGTCTTCATGTAGGTTACTTTTTTTTTTTGGGACCTCAGAGTCTCCCTGTGTAGCTTTGGCTGGCCTGGAGCATCAGGCTGGCTTCAAACTCACAGAGATCTTCCTGCCTCTGCCTCCCAATTCTGGGATTAAAGATGGACACCACATGCCTGGCACTAGGTTAACTTTAAAGGAAGTAACCATTTAGTGAATAGTGATGCCCATCAGGAGAATTTCAGACCATACCATATTTTGCAACCTTTTTATTTCCTATGAAATTCTGTTAGTGTAATGAGCAGCATAATTGGGGGTGGGTAAAGAATGACAGCCACCAGGCCTTTGCCATAGGTGCCATAAATGTGAGGAGGGTTCATGTCCAGCAGGTAATAAACCTTCAAGCTCAGTGATCCCTCTGAGGTTCCTGCAGGGTCTGGTACTTGCCCATCCTACCTCCCAGGCCTTTCACAGAGATCTAATTGAGTCTATGAAATAGCTGAAAAAGTACTATACAAATATGAGGTGACTTAATTAATTATGTGGCTGGGAGAGTATTGCTTACTTTATAATTTGCTAAAGGAAAGCCAACTCACTATATATTCATTCAATTTATAGAGTATTAAATAATTTATAATTTGCTAAAGGAAAGCCAACTCACTATATATTCATTCAATTTATTCATATAATTTAATTGGGTTAAGTAAAATGAGAGCTAAATTCATGTGTGAATTTGAGTATAGTGGCATCAGAAATTAATACTACATTTTCAGCCCAAATTATTTTCGAGAAAATGAATTTCTTTTTGAAAATAAATCAGGTATTATAAAGCAAAAATTGTCACAAATTTAAGCTTTGGTTTCTGTTTAGAATACAATAAAATTTAAACATGTTTAGTTAGATAGTCTATGATATTTGATAGTCTATGACATTTGATGAAGTTAAAACAGTTTTAAATTCAAAGACCATTACAGTTCATAAGCAAAACATATTAAAAGTTTTAAACTAAATTATGAAATTATTTCTCTGTCTCTAGGTGAAACATGGTTTCTCTAATATAACTGGGATCGATTATTCTCCTTCTGCAATTAAGCTTTCTGCAAGTATTTTAGAGAAAGAAGGGCTATCGAACATTAACTTAAAGGTAACTGTTACTTATATTACTATAATATTTTAAATAGTAATTTAAAATAAGCTATAATATTTGAATGTTTTTAAGGTATATTAATCTGCTGACCTTTTGGAATTCATAAGTTAAGGATCAATAACAAATAATCCAAACTGAAACATTTAAAAGTAACTTAAAAATTTAATCTAGTTTGTTTAGGGACATTACTTTTTTGTGTGTGTGTGACAAGAGTCTTAGTGTGTAACTTAGGCTAGCCTCAAACTTGCTGTCTCCTGTATCAGTCTAGTTGGATTATAGCCATGTACCACTGCGCTTTGTAGGAAAGTGTCTTCTTCATTGTATATGTATATATGTGTGTTACTGTCCATGTTTGCAGAAATGTACAGTACCTGACTCTGGATTAATGAGATGAAAAAATTAGAAATGCTGGGTGTCCCTGCATTTCGGTTTTCTGTCTCAGGTTCTACTAGAACTGGAAGCCACATCAACTGGATGGCAGGATGTGGTTGTCTCTATTTCTCAAAGAAAATGAGTTATATTAAAAAAAAAAAAAAAAAAAAACTTAAACTCATAGGATGTTATCATACCAAACATTGTTATTTAATTCTTTGTCCCACTTGGCTTTAATTGTCAATTTGGCATAATCTGAAGTTATCAGAGATGAAAGCCTCAATTAGAATTGTCTAGATTAGATTGACTTGTGGGCATGTCTGTGAGGATTGTCTTGATTATTAATTGATACAGGAAGGCCATGCCCAATATGTGTGGCACCATCCCTAGCATTCCTGGGTAATACAAGGAAGCTACTAGTTAAACTAGTTTCTCAGCTTGTGAGAAAGTCAGAAAGTGAGCTAGCTTCAGGTTCCTGCCTTGAGTTCCTGGCCTGTGACCTGGAAATGTAAGATAAAATAAGTCCTTTCCTCTCCAAAGTTGCTTTTGGTCTGAGTGGTTTCTCACAGCAACAGAAAGAAATTAGAATACTTAAAACCCAAGGAGTCAACCTTGTTTCTTCTCTTTTCTTTCAATCATTTTGCCTTACCACTCCTATGATACGAAGTAGTCAGAGTCATCTAAAACAAACATTTGCTTACATCACTGTTTTTTTGTTTGTTGGTTTTTGTGTTTTCAGATACCGTTTCTCTGTGTAGCTTTGGCTGACCTGGAATTCGATCCATATGCCAGGCTGTCCTTGAACTCACAGAGATCTGCTTACCTCAGCCTTCTGAGTGCTGGGATTGAAGGCATGTGCAAACAAGCCCAACTCAAGCTGCTTTTTTTTTTTTTTTTTTTTCCACAAAACAGTCTTATTACTTTTTTTTTTTTTCTTTTTTTCCCCCTCAAGATGAGAGGTACTTCCCTTTGTAGCCTTGGCTGGCCAAAGACTTATGAATCCCACTGCCTTTACTTTCTGAAGGCAGGACTGTAGATAAGCACCATCTTGGCTGGTTCATGGTTTCTGTATTGTTTTGTGCTACTGAGACAGGATCTTCTATAATCCAGCATGCTAGGTAGCTGAACTTCTGGTCTTCTGCTTTTCCAAGTGCTAGAATTACAGGCATGTACCACCATGCTCAGTTCTTTCTCTTTAAAAATTACACTCATGTATTTATTGTGTGTGTGTGTGGTGGGTGGATACATGTGCCACAATGTGGGCTCCAGGGGTTGAACTCTGTTGGGTTTGGTGGCAAGTGCCTTTATCTACTGAACTCAGGCCCTAGTTTTATTCTATTTTTATGTGTATTAGTGTTTCTCCTGGGAAGGCCAATAGAAAGCCGAAGACCCTCTACATCTCAAGTTACGGGTGATTGTAGGCTCCCATATAGGTGCTGAGAACCTTAACTGAGGCCACTAAAGAGCAGCTAGTGCTCTTAACTGGTGAGCCATCTCTCCAGCCCCAGTTAATACTATACCATTATTAAGCATTTGTAATCTATTTTTGAAAATTTAAATTGTGGGGCTGGAGAGATGGCTCAGCGGTTAAGAGCCCTGACAGTTCTTCCAGAGGTCCTGAGTTCAATTGCTGGCAACCACATGGTGGCTCACAACCACCTTGAATGAGATCTGGTGCCCTCTGCTGGTGTGCAGGCAGGAGACTGTATACATAATAAATAAATAAAATCTCTAAAAAATTTAAATTGCATTTTTTATATGTATACTTGTGTGGACATACATGTGTACATGATTGAGATCAGAGTTTGCTGAAGTTTGTTCTTTCTTTTCATCTTGAGATCCCAGGGCTCAAACTTAGGTTTGGTGGCAAGCCTTTACCTGCTGAGCCATCTTGCTGGCCCTATCTGAAATAGTATTATTATCTTATTACATTCATTTATTTGTTTTGTGTGGTATGTACAGCATACTTGTGTAGGGAAGAAGACAATTGTGGGAGTTGGTTCTCACTATCATGTCAGTGTTAAAGATCCACTCAGATTGTCTAGTATGGTGACAAAAGCCTTTACCCTCTGAGTCTGAACCTTGAAATACTATAATGTTTTAAAAAATTACATTTCTCTGTGTGAGTATGTGCATGTGAATACAGGTACCTGTAGAGGCCAGAAGCCTTGGGTTTTGGAGCTCAAGCTAAGGCAGTTGTGAGCCACCTGATGGAGGTCCTTTAGAAGAGCAGTATGTGTTCCTAACTATGGCACTGACTCTGTAGCTCCTGGAAGTATTTCCTTAAGTTTATGTTTTAGTAGCTTTTTATTGCTATGACTAACATAGACTAGATAATTTACAAAGCACAGAAGTTTATTTAAGCTCATAGTTCTAGGCTGAAGAGTCCACCATGATTCTTACATGATGTGGTGAAGGACCTTCTTTCTGCATCATAGTAGAGCAAGTGAGCGAGAGAAAACTTGCTTTTATAACAAAGCCAATCCTCATTAGCCCATTAATCTGTTAATGAGCAGAGTCTTCATGATGCAGTCACCTTCCTAGGGTCTCTTCCAAATACCATTAACATATGACTGTGCTTAGATTTCCATTGTGTGTATTCTGGAAGATGTTCTTAAATAGTAGCAGCTTATTTGTTGTTTAGCTTTCTCCCTTTATGAAACACAAGACTATTATATTCTTTTTTTCTCCATTTTTTTTATTTAAGTTAGAAACAAGATTGTTTTACATGTCAAGACTACTATATTCTAACACATATTTCTTTACTCTTTTACTTACTGTTATATCCTGTATATAATAAGTACAGGTGTCATGAAATACCTTTGGAATACAAGAATGTTATAAACAGGTGTTTAGGATGAGGATGACCCCACAGAGTGAGATCTCTTTGTAGTCTTTATTTTGATTAAGATGTAAAGAATTCTGTACTTTGGATATGAGACAGGAAAGGTCCCATCTTCAAATAGAAGGACATGCTGAATGTGCTGTGCTGATATACACCTGTAATTCCAACACTGTAGTAGAAACAGAGCTAGGAAAGCCTGGATTACATGCATGAGACCCTGTCACAAAAAAAAAAAAAAAAAAAAAAAAAAAAAAAAAAAGCACATAATGTCAATTTATCCATTTTAAGGGTTGTTTTAGGTACTTACTTTCATTACTAAAATTGTATGTATGATGAGATCTCTGTGAGTTCAAGGCCAGCCTGGTCTTCAAAGTGAGTTCCCAGATAGCTAGACCTGTTACACAGAGAAACCCTGTCTCAAAACGACTCACACCCCAAATTTCAGAATTAAATTCATTAGTAAATTTTTGTGTTATAAAATGGAGCCACATCACTATTTCAAATACTACAGGTTGTTAAAAACAGGATGCTAATAAACTATTAAAAGCTAAAGTACAGGACATTTACCAAGTTAAGTAATTATAGTTTAAATAGTCCTTTAATTTCTTAAGCTTCATGCCTTTTGTAGTATCCATTAGCAGCTTTGTGAGCTGCTGAATCAAAACAGAGGAACTTCTGATAATTCTTTATTTACTTTAGGCCACTCAAGTGGGAGTATAAGTCATAAGTTTTATCTCCAGTGACCTGGATTCCAAATACATTTTGTCTTTTTGATAAATATGTTAAATATTTTCATAAGAATCAACTTTTTGTAAACTGGACTTTTGAGCCAGTATTCCTGGCTTTGATTTGTTTCCAAATTTGTAGAGATTTGAAATGTCCAGGAAACACTATCAACCTCTCTTCTAATTTTGGCTTTAATGATCTCGGAAATAAAGCACATAAAAGTTAGCTATAAAGTTGAAAATATGTTTATTATATGTAAAATGCCATCATAATGGGCTCTTTTATCTCTAACCTTTTACATGGTGTCACTTAAGTTATATAAAGATTGTGTTAATTGTTCTCATATGGACATTCATTTTCAATATAGGTAGAAGACTTTTTGAGTCTTTCCACAAAGCTGTCTGGATTTCATGTTTGTGTTGACAAAGGGACTTTCGATGCCATAAGTCTTAATCCTGACAATGCAGTTGAGAAGAGGAAGCAATATGTGAAGTCTCTCTCCAGGGTGTTGGAAGTAAAAGGCTTTTTTCTAATAACCTCATGTAATTGGACCAAGGCAGAGTTGCTGGATGTGTTCAGTGAAGGTAACTGGTTGCATGGGTTTGAAGATGTACTTTTTTGGGTTTTATTCTTCTGCTTGGCTCCTCTGTTGGGTACAGTATTTTACATTTCTGGTTGTAGGAATTGACTGCTTTTCTTCTGTGTTAATGACCTTAGTAATAACTTTGAATTGTGTATACAAAGCACAGAGAAGTAAATTGGTTGGGATCCAGAGGCCTTTTTAACATTTTTCCCAGAAATCCTGGCAGTTAAGTACTAAAATTTATGAGCTTGTAAAGATCAAGCTCTTTTTTTAAGCAATGCAATCTTTTATTTAAGCTGTATGATCTGCTGTCCCAAGATTCAGCACATGTGTTGTGCTTTGGACTTCAGTGAACTAACTTATTTGTTAATCTATACTCATGTAAATGGAAGTACATGATGAATGTTTTAGTCTCCCCCACCCCCCTCTTTTTTCCCATGAGACAGGGTTTCTCTGTGTAGCCCTGGCTGTCCTGGAACTCAGACCAGGCTGGCTTCAAACTCAGAGATTCACCTGCCTCTGCCTTAATTGCTGGGATTAAAGGTGTATGCCATCATCACCTGGAGAATGTTTTAGTTTTATATGTAGTTTATATGGTTTGCTTTAGGGGTCATTTAAGTGTTTAGGATTTGTCTTTTTTTGGTCTATACGGAGCAATTATTTTTAACATTGCACAAAAAATGAAACAAATTAATAATAGTTCTATATATTGATTTTTGAGGAAGTTCCCTTCTGTCTTTTTTGCGGGGGAGGTGAGACAGGGTTCCTGGCACTGGATCTGTAGACCAGGCTGGTCTCCAACTCGAAGAGATCTGCCTGCTTCCCGAGTGCTAGGATTAAAGGCATGTGCCACCACTGCCTGGCCTCCTACCTTTTCTTATGCAAGGCAGGATTTTTTTTTTCTGCCCCATTAGCCAAAGATACATTAGACTATGTCTACTAATATTAATTCATGTCTACTGTGTTTTGTGAGTATTGAGAATCTGTCTATATATATATAGCACTGGGAGTTTTCTCAGACTCTTTCTTGGGCACTTCAAGAAGTATTTTACCTTCTAGTTTACCCATGTAGTACACAGGCATTGCTGGGAAAGTACTTTGAAATTTTTTTTTTTTGTTATTTGTTTACCTTTTCCTTAGAGTCTTTTTCAGGGTTAGTACTAGTTATTTTATAGAGGAATGGAAGGAATTTTCAGGATGAAGTACTAAGTAAATGATTCTAGACTAAATATTTGGTTACATTTTGACCATCTCTCACAAGTTGATGAGAAACCAGCTACCTCAAGAGAGTTTACTGCACACTGTTTTCTGTAACCATGTTACATCATATTGCATGCACCTATTTTATATTTTTAGTATTAAAGGACTAGACAGAACCTGTTCTGTGTCCTCCCATGTACATTCAGTGGTTTTGGCAGGTTTTATAATGGAAAACCTGAAGCATTTATTGTTGAAAATATGAGCTTTTGGCTTCATTATTATTACTCCCAGAAAACAAGAATTGTATGTGATTTACTGTCTTTTATTTTATATCATTAATTTTATTGTCTTCCATGTTAACATTTATTTCTCATAGAACTGTTGGGTTCTAGACTGGCAGCGGTGGTGCATGCCTTTGGTCCCAGCACTCCAGAGACAAAGGCAGGCAGATTTATGAGTTTGAGGCTAGCTCGAGTTCCAGGATAGCCAGGACTACATAGAGAAATGCTGTCTGGAACAAAAATAAAAACCAAAAAAGGAACAGTTGGGTTCTATCAATAAACCTTTTTTCTGAAGCTTGACAATTTTTTTTTTTTTTTTTTTTTTTTTTTTTTTTTTCGAGACAGGGTTTCTCTGTGGCTTTGGAGGCTGTCCTGGAACTAGCTGTTGTAGACCAGGCTGGTCTCGAATTCACAGAGATCCACCTGCCTCTGCCTCCCGAGTGCTGGGATTAAAGGCGGGCGCCACCAACGCCCGGCGAAGCTTGACAGTTTTAATAAATGCTCAGAGTTCTTCTGCTGTGTGGGACAAGTTCCTCTCCTGGTTCCTTCTTCTTCTTCTGGTGGCAGATGCTTTTATTTAATTTTTAATGTGCAGTGGTGTGAGGGTAACACATCCCCTGGAACCGGAGTTACAGACAGTTGTGAGCTGCCATGTGGGTGCTGGGAATTGAACCTGGGTCCTCTGGAAGGGCAGCCAGTGCTCTTAAACCACTGAGCCATCTCTCCAGCACCTGTTCTTAAATACACAGGTGTTCTCTTTTACCCTAGAACCAGCAGAGAGAAGCACATTTGTCTGTCTCTGGTAATGAGGAGCAGACTTTAGCCTGGAATACTGTGCTTTAAATGTGTCACCGGGCGTTGGTGGCACACGCCTTTAATCCCAGCACTTGGGAGGCAGAGTCAGGTGGATCTCTGTGAGTTTGAGACCAGCCTAGAGAGGGTTCCAGCAGTGCCTTCAAAGCCACAGAGAACCCCTATCTCGAAAACAAAACAAAACAAAACAAAAATGTCAATGTGTCTGAGAATTGTTGAGTAAACTCTTTATACAGTCTTAGAACTAAATAGAGAATTAAAGCAAGGAAAATGTTATAATAGGAGGTGTTAAGGAAACAATTGTATAGCATTAGAGACTTTTAGGATTGAGTTGCTTAAAAAATGGTGCTTGGACTTAGATGTGTAACAGCAACAGAGTACTCTGCCCCATGTCACTGCTGCTGAAGGCCTCCCTGATGACCACCACAATCCATTGGCTTAGAATGAAGTTTGCCTCACCACTTTTTTTTTTTTTCATACAATGCATTTTAATCATGTTTCCTTCCCTCCCCCAATTCTTCCCACCTCTCTACCCAACTTTATGTTCTTTTTCTCTTTAAAAACAAACAAAACCAAAACAAATCCTAAAAGTAAAAAAGACCAAGAAACATACCACCCCCCCAAAATGGAAATAAAAATAAATAAGCAAAAAATGCCTAAACAGAGTGTAATGAGATACTCTACAAAAACACCATTGAATGTGTTTTGTGTTGGCTAACTACTCCTGCTCATGGGAGGAGGAGTCTTGTGCAGAAGTGTGGTTAATATAGTGAGAGTCCATAGGAGAAAACTGAAGTTTTCTTTGCCAGTGGGTATCAACTACAGATAGCTTTTTGGGTGGGAACCTTTGTCTACTTCACCCTCTCAGTGCTGAGATCCCATCTGGCTTGAACCTGTTTAGGCCTGTGTGTGCTGCCATACTCTCTGAGTTTGTATGCTTCACCAGTCCTTAAAAGTTCTTTTTCCCCCCCATATTTGAAATGCATTGTGCAATTTTCCTCAGTAGTACTATTTATGCAATATAAATTCTTTAAAATATTTATATTACAGTTTATTTATTTAGCTGGATGGTGGGGTATGTGGCAGGCAGAAGACAAACCATGGGAATCAGTTCTCTCCTTTCAATCCAGGGGATTGAACTCAGGTCCCCAGGTTTGGTGGCAAGTGCCTTTACCTGCTGTGCCATCTCTCCAGCCCAATGTATTTGTTGGCTGTTTAGTGACCTTTCAGCTTTGTTTTATTATTTTATTTTTATGGGCTTCAATTCCAGACCCAAGCCTTACACATAGGAGGCAGGTGTTCTACCATTGATTATACCCTGGTGTTTGTTTGAGACAGGGTTTTTTTTTTTGTTTTTTGTTTTTTTTTGTGTGTGTGTGTGTAGCCCTGGCTAGAACTCACTGTGTTGGCCAGGCTGGCCTTAAACTCAGAGATCTGCCTGTCTCTGCCTCCCAAGTGCTGGGATTAAAGGCATGTGTCACTACTTTAATCCCATCACTTGGGAGGCAGAGGCAGGCAGATCTCTGAGTTTGGGGCCAGCCTGGTCTATAAAACAAGGTCCAGGACAGTCAGAGCTACATAGTGAGAACCTGTCTTAAAAAACCAAAAACAAATGAACAAACCAAAAAAAAAAAAAAATTCTCAAACAAAAAAATCCACAAAATATCTGTTACATAGAGGTAGGAAACCTAGGACATTGCGTTCTAAATGAACATTTCTTTTAAAAGCATACTGTGTTCTTAAAGTTATAATTTCTTCCAAGACAGTAGTTTGGTTTGGGTATTAATCTTTGTTTAATCTTCTCTTCTGAAAATGGTGATAAAACACCCATAAGATTTTAACTATTTTTTTTTTTTAAGATTTTATTTATTTACCCCCATGTACATCTGCACACCAGAAGAGGGCACCAGATCTCATAACGGATGGTTGTGAACCACCATGTGGTTGCTGGGAATTGAACTCAGGACCTCTGGAAGAGCAGTCAGTGCTCTTAACCTCTGAGCCATCTCTCCAGCCCCCTATTTTGACTGTTTTTAAGTGAACAATTCAGACTGGGTATGGCGGTGTATACCTTTAATCTTAGTATTTGTTAGGTAGAGGCAGGAGGATCAGGAACTTGAAGGTCATCTTTGGCTATATAGAAAATATAGGGTCAACCTCTGCTATATGAGGCCCCATCTCAGAAAAACCAAATACAACTAAACCCATAGATAGATAATGAATTAAGTGTGCAGTTCAGTAACTTTATCCATGTTGTTGTGTAACCACGAGAAGTCCGTCTTCCAGAACTTTCTTATCATTTACAAATTCATTTTTACTTTCAGTAATATAGCCTTTTTGTAATACATGCCTTTATATTTGTGATGTGATTGAGTTTGTACATAGAAAGCCACATAAAAAGCAGTTGCACACCGCCTTTAATCCCAGCACTCAGGAAGCAGAGGCAGGCAGATCTCTGTTTATTAGAGGCCAGCCTGGTCTACAGAGCGAGTGCCAGGATAGGCTCCAAAGCAATACAGAGAAACCCTGTCTCAAAAAAAAAAACAGGAAAAAAAAAAAAAAAAAGCAGTGCTGGCATATGGCAAGAATTCAGTGTGTCACAGCCGCTTCCTACCAAGGAGATAGAGAAATAGACCAAGGGAAGCAGGTGGTGGGGAGGTAGTGGTAAGTAGGACTAGAGGAAATGGGGGAAAGGCTTCTATGCTGATTGTTTTTGGTCCTTTCTGTTCCCTGTTCATTTAAAAAGACTTGGGGGGGCATGGTGGTGAGCTGAAAAAAAAAAAGTGCAAAATTAAATTCAGTCACCAGTTTGAAATCACAATTTTGGAAAGGATTTGAAAGAACATTGTTGGTACAAATATCTCTAACACAGATATTTTAATTTTGTTTTATAGGATTTGAACTTTTTGAAGAGCTGCCAACACCCAAGTTCAGCTTTGGAGGTAGATCTGGAAATACTGTAGCAGCTTTGGTTTTTCAAAAAAGTGAAACTTTCTTGGACAAAGTCAGTTAGCTTTCTAGAAGAAACTGTACAGCAAAGTAAACCTGATACAGAAGAAGCAAGTGCAAATAGTGCTTAGTAAGTACCCAGGCTGCACAGACAGAGTACAGATAATGGGGTGGTGGGAAATCACAAGTATGGGCATCAGCATTTAGATATCACCTAAGAATAATATAAAATTTTTAGTTTGTATTTGACATGAATATTTTCTTGTGTTTTATGGCAGTTTTCTATAACAATTAATCAGTTGAAAGCCTCAAGGCAGTAAATGAATTTACAGAAAGCCTCTATTCTTGGTTTTTGTGCCTTGGTAAAAGTTGAATTGAAAATGGCAGTTTATGAAGCCTTGATCAAACTGTTTCAAGGCCAGAATAGTTATAAGTATTTTCATGCTTTACAGAATACGGAGTATGATAAGCAATGCCATTTTGTGTTGGTAGCTGGGAGACCTCCCTGATTGTCATGTTATTAATTAAAATCAGAGAAGTTGAAGTATTTTTATTTATTTATTTACTTATTTGTTTGTTTGTTTATTTGTTTTTTGTAGCCCTCGTTGGCCTGGAACTTAGAGATCCATCTGCCTTTGCCTCTACAGTGCTGAGATTAAAGGTGTGCACCACCACACTGGTAACTCTAGTCTTTACCCTGTGAAGGATAAATGGATAGTTTAAGGAAAGCGAATTAAGGAATATTGCTAAATGCTTAGCTCTGTGTTAACTAATGGTGTTTTATTCAATCATTGAGTCCTTCTGTATTTTCCCAAAGTATTAACTTGTTTATATATAGGAGAGCTGCAGCTGAGAGTGAAGACATTTTTGCAAGACCAGATAGTACCAGGAGAAGTCAAGATTCTTAGTTGGGTGTGATTGACTCTAGAACCCTTCTTCTAATATTGTCTACCTCCCAGGTGCCAAATCTGTCTTTATAGCATCAAAGTCTGTGCTATAGGTAAAATTCAGGTGAGCACTGACAACTAAATGGCTAGTGCTGGTCTGTGGACTTTGAGAATAGTGAGTCAGCCACCTGAGTCTCATGACATTTATTATTGCTTTTACTGTCTCTTTGTTTTGAAAGACTGTCCTTTATCAGGAACTGAATTTTAAGCAAGACATGACACACCTATAATCTTAGCATTCAGGAGGCTGAAGTAGGAGGAGGAACTGGAGTTAAAAGCTTGGGCTACACAATGAAACCCCTTTTCCAAAAAAAAAAAAAAAAGGTTGGGGAAATTGCCAAGTAAACATGAAAACCTGAGTTCAGCTCCCTAGCACCTATGTACAGTGCTGTTTGTAGCAGCATGTGCTCATAATCTCAGTGCTCTGGATCAGAGACAAGAGGATTCTCTGAAGCTTGATGGCCAGGCAGCCTAGCTGTGGATCACTTGGCTCCAGGTTCACTGACAGACTGTCTCAAAAAATAAAGTTGAGAGCAATTGAGAAGGATATCGTGTTTTGCGTTCAGTACAGTGGCTAGTGGCTGCACCTTAAGCAACTGCTGTTCTAACTGGCAATTGCAACTTCGAAGTTACCAGCAGTGGTTAGCTCATATGGGCTGCAGCCAGGCTGGAATTCTGTTTTCTCAGCACTGGCTCTATCACAGCTGCTAAAGGAAACTTTGTATAAATCTCTGTCTTTCTACAGAACTCAGGATTCATAGTTTGAGGAGAAATTCTGCTTGCTCAGTTAGGCTGAATAGTTAAGTAGCTAACTTTCTGTCCTTGCTCGTGTCTCCTGAAAAAAAAAGGGCTGTCCTTCTGCTCAGCCCCCACTAAAGAACTCTCCCTAGGCTTAGTTCCTCCCTGTCATTTCCTGTCAGCTAGTTGCTAACTCAGCCTCCTGACCCCAGGTTAATTTTATTTAATCAAACAAATGTAACACATCTTTGCATCATTAACAAAGGCAGCAGAAACAAATTAACACACCTTTACACAGTTAAAATAATATTCCACAACAATACCTAAAGACCCCTGGCTCCCATACACTTATCTATGCATAGTGCACACATGTGCAAGCATACACACACAAAAGAAAAGTGAAAACTGATTTTGTCATTCATCTTTCTGTGGAAGGGGGTTGTCAGCTGTATAAATTTTGAGGGATATAGAGACAAGGTGCTCTAAGAGCTGGCTTATCTGGAGGGCATTTATATATTTGAAAAGGCAAAGTGTATTTTTTATTTATATCTAATATTTAAGGAAACTGTATTTGAGACAATATTTTAGTATTGGAATCTTAATGTAATTTTTTAAAATTATGTAACTTTTGGGGTACTGGAAAGAGATAGCTTAGCAGTTAAGAGCACTTTCTGCTCCTGCAGAGGACCTGGGTTTTTATCCAAAACCCACATTGTTCACACCGTCTGTTACTTCAGTTTGTAGGGATATCCAGTACCCTCTCTTTTGGCCTCCTTCAAAATACCTGCATACATAAAATAAAAATACATATGGGCTGGAGAGATGACTCAGGGGTTAAGAGCACTGGCTGCTCTTCCAGAAGTCCTGGGTTCAGCACCCACATGATGGCTCACAACTGTCGGTAACCTCAGTTACAGGAGATCTGACACCATCACACATATATATATGCAGGCAAAACACCAATGCACATGAAATAAAAATAATTTTAAAAAAGTTATGTAGCTTTTTGGTGATTTTCAGACTTTTGGGAATATTGGGTTTTAAAGCCTTTTTATATTAAATATTCTTCTAGTATTGAGCCTAGTCCAGCATTATATGGTTTTTGTTCATAGAGGAGGACAAGCTAGTAACTTAGGTCACTGTGACCATTAATGCTACCACTGTCTTTTAAAGATTTGGAGACAATTACATGGATTTTGAATAAAAATTATGATTTTGGAATAGCTTTTATTTTAGAATACAAAATGTGAGACATTACTTTAGAATATGTACAATTTAAGCTTTCAGAACATTGTGCTTTATGAGATGTGGGATTTTTTTAGTGTTTATGAACACATGCAAGTGCATAGGGATACACATGTAGAAACCAAAGGAAGACTTTGAGTATCTCTTAGTTGTTACATTTTTGATACAAGATCTCTCTACTTAGTTCTGGCTGTCCTGGAACTCACTATGTAGACCAGGCTTTGCACTCAGAGGGATCTGCCTGCCCCTGTCCTTATATGGTTGCCTTATTTTATCTTTCTTGTTTCTTGAGGCAGGGTCTCTGACTGAACCTGAAGCTCAGTGTGTGAGATAGGTAGCTGGCCAGCAAGCTCTAAGGATTGCTTGTTTGCATCTGCCAGCTCTGAAGCTACTGGCACATGCAGCCATGCCCACCTTTTACATAGGTGCTGGGGATTCAAACTCATGTCCTGTCCTCATGTTTGCACATCATGTACTTGTATTCACTGAGTCACCTCCCTAGCCAGAGGTCTTTAAACTGTAGATGCATATTGTTTATAACTTAATTGAAGTGATTTTTTTATAAATAACAAGTATTCCAAAATTGTCTTTGATTTCAAAAATAACAATAATCTACATAGCAAATTCCAATCCAGCTGGGACTACTTAGTGAGAACTTGTCTAAAATAAATAATTAAATGAGTGGAAGTAAGTACTCTCAGAATTTTAAGTGGGTAAGTTTGAAGTGTTATTAAGCATCAACCCACCAAATCACTTTCTGTGTGAGCAGGCTGAGTCTGATTCAAAGTTAGCTTGGGATATGTCTGTTGATGTTAATTGAGTCCCTTTGTGGGACATGTTTGTTAATTTTGCAAAGGTTGAGGCTTTTTCTTTTTCTACTGTGGAGCTGTTGATAAGGTTTAAAAAGAAGGACTTGTCGTTTCTTCTTAGCACTTTAATCTTGCTAGAAGCCAGCCTTTTAATGATTGAAATCAGAAATAGAAAGGCCTGAAAATGCTAATAAGATATTAGTATTTTCAAATAATAACAAACTGTTAAAAGCCTGATTACTAAATGTCTCCACGTTTATGAAATAAACTATAAACACTTTATTTTAAAGCTTAGTATTGTTAACTATTATAAATATGTGGATACATGAATGAAATGATGCAGTTACAAAAAGGGGAGCACATAATGTAATGATGACTAAGAAACTGGAATTGTAGTTTCATTTAATCAAAAAACATTTTGAGGAAACTTGTTTGAAATCCAAAGTGGATTTTCACTGTGATGCTGCTGCAGCACAACAGGCCATGTCTGTAGGAAGCACAGGTCCACAGGGAACCCACAGGTCCATGGGGAATCAGGCCTGAATGCCACATGCAGGTGGTCAGGCTCCACAACTTAACAAATAGAAAGCATTGAGAATGTTTTGTTTTAACCAGGTATACAGGCTAGAGTTTCTTTTGGGGACTGACACTTAGGTCTGTGATTCAAACCTGACAGTAGTCTTGGCAACTTGACTAAAGCCATTTTAAAATAAGTATAAATTGTACTTGATTTTTTTCCTCTTTGTAGTAACAAGCTTGCTTTTTTTTTTCTTGTTCCTCTCCAATGTGCATGCTAGTCTTCTGTTTGAGAAAAGAAGAGAGGCAAACATAAAAGACCTTAATATCTTTCGTAGATTTGTAAAATTTCTGTACCACTGCAGCATACCACTGCTTGCTGACAGGGTTCATTCTCATCAGACAATAGTAGAAACCTCAGTTTTTGAGGCACATACATGTTTGATTTTTTTTCTTTCTTTTCTCTCGTTCTTTTTGAGGCAAGGTCTCATGTAATCTAAGCAAGCTTTGACCTTCCTTTGCAGCTAAGGATAGCCCTGAACTCTGATCCTTGATCTTTCTGCCTCTGTCTCCTGTGTTGAGATTATAGGAGTTTGCCACCACACCCTGCTCAAACCTATACAATTTTTACTTTATAGATTTGTGTCTATATATACATAGTATGAATGCACCTGACTTTTTTCTGTCTGGTGCCTACATTGAAAATAAGAACAAATACAAACAATCCATTTGTCTCCAAGGGAGAGATCTGAGTTTTGACTCACTGTTTTTGCCTCTGTGAGCTAGGATCTGTCTTCTGCAGAAACAGCGCTCAGCTTTCAGGGCAAGAGACTAAGTGTCTTGTGTTGCACAGTAGTAACCACTCCAGCTAATTA